CAACCATTTTGTATCTCTCATTTGGGTTCATCTACCACCAACCCCAATTAATTTGGAATAAAGGTGGTTGATGTTGATGTACTAACCTTTCTATGCAGCACAAAAGCTTTATGCCAGCACTAGATTCCATTTCCATCCCAAAATAAGTGCATGATGCATTAAAAAATAAGAATTGGGTTGAGGCCATGCAAGAGGAGATGAATGCCTCGGAGAAGAATAAAACATGGGAGGTTGTTGATAAACCCAATGGAAAGAAATCAGTAGGGTGCATATGAGTTTATGCCCTAAAGTACAATTCTGATGGTACTCTTAAGAGATATAAGGCTCGATTAGTCGCCAAAGGTTACACTTAGACCTATGGCCAGTATTATGAAGAAACTTTTGCCCCAGTTGCAGAGATGAATACTGTGAGAGCTTTGTTATCCCTTGCTGCCCATAACAACTGGGATATAAATCAATTTGATGTGAAGAATGCTTTCCTTAATGGTGAATTAGAAGAAGTTTACATGAAAATCCCGCCTAGTTTTGACTCTATGGATGGAGAAAATAAAGTTTGTATATTCAAGAAGGCCTTGTATGGATTGAAGCAGTCTCCTCGTGCTTGGTTTGGGAGGTTTACTAAGGTTATGATGACCTTAGGATACAAACTGAGTCAAGGAGATCCCACACTTTTCTTTAAGCACTTCCAAGATGGGAATTTTATTGTGCTCCTTGTGTATGTTGATGACATTATTATAATAGGGGATGATATTGTGGAGAGACATGTTCTACAAGCACGACTAGCCTCTGAATTTGAAATTAAAGACCTTGGGAGATTGAAATATTTCCTAGGGATAGAGGTAGCTCATTCAAAGGAAGGAATTTTTATAATTCAAAGGAAATATGTCCTGGATCTTCTTAAAGAAGTAGGAAAACTTGGGTGTAAACCATCTAGTACTCCTATTGAGCAGAATCACAAGATTGGTTATGAAGATGAGAGCCCTTCAGTTGATAAAGGACAATATCAGCTGCTAGTTAGGAGATTGATATATTTAGCTCATACTAGACCAGACCTAGCTTATGCTGTTAGTATTGTGAGTTAGTTCATGCATAATCCAAAAGAAAGACACATGCAAGCAGTAGAGAGAATTCTTCAATACCTTAAAGCCACTCCTAGTAAAGGATTGTTATTTCGGCGAGATGACAATCTCTCTTTAGAAGTTTATATTGATGCCGATTATGCTGGATCCGTGACTGACCGTCGATCTACTACTGGTTATTGTATGTTCCTTTGTGGTAACTTAGTGACATGGAAGAGTAAGAAACATGATGTGGTTGCCAGGTCAAGTGTAGAGGCTGAATTTCGAGCTATGGCTCAAGGCATTTGTGAATTATTGTGGTTGAAGATTATACTTGATGATCTTAAAATAAGATATGAAGGACCTATGTTGAGATATATAAATACCATTAATGTAGCCTCACCCAATAGCTTAAGCTTTTGGGTTGAATTGGTTCTTTACATGGTATCAGAGCCTCGGTGTATCGGGTTCGATCCTCACCGTCTCCTACTTTCTTTCAAGTGGAATTTCTTTCTTCGTACAGGTAGGTGAGCCTGTGCATTGTCCACCCTTCAAGCTCAGTGGGCTTTCGTGTGAGGGGGCGTGTTGAGATATATAAAAACCATTAATGTAGCCTCACCCAATAGCTTAAGCTTTTGAGTTGAATTGGTTCTTTACAACCTATGAAGCTATTTTGTGATAATAAGTCAGCCATTTGTATAGCTCATAATCTAGTTCAACATGATCGGACTAAGCATATTGAGGTCGACCATCATTTCATCAAAGAGAAACTGGATAGCGGGTTGATCGCTCAATTAGCTGATATTCTGACGAAGAGACTTTCCTCAGATAGATTTTAAGAGCTTACTAGCAAGCTGAGAATGGTAAATATCTATTCCTCAGCTTGAGGAGGAGTGTTGTAAATAATTGTATTGTAATTATTTATTTTTATTTATTTTTCATTCTAGAATCTTCTTTGGGTTTAGCTCATTAGGTCATTCAGTCTCTATAAATAAAGAGCTCTTGTACATTTGTAATTAACAATTTTCACATAATACCATCCTACTGTTCAAGTTCTTTTTTTTAAGTGGGCCATATTGCACCATGTCGGTTGGGTTATGGGTCAATCAAGAACCAAGAGCTTCTCGCTGTAGTTTAGGCTTTAACTCATGAGCACTTCGTATATATTTCTGGTGGGTATTGTTCATCAGCAGCCGTGACAAATAAAAGAAAATTGTACATGTGGACGGATGCCAATGGTTCTCAATTGGAAGTTCCAGAGCGACGAGGTGCACAACCATGTCCCTTTGTTGGCATTTTCGTGAACTTGTAGGAGACTTACAGTAATGGATTGTCAAAGTATGTGAAGAACAAAGATCATATCAAATTCTAAAGTTTCTCCAACTTTTAGAGGAGGAAATTTTATACATTGATTCCATTGCTGACCTAATGGGAGAGGAGAGAGCCATTAGTTTGGATGTGACATATGATGGATTACAGGAAGAGAGGGCAAAGGTTAGTCTTTTAGCATCTTCACCTTTTGGAACTGTTATTTCAATTTATCCTTGCTCAAAGTTGAAAGGGTGGATCATGGAATTCATCCACTTGGGGAGTTGGAATGCTGACATTTAGGGGCAGTAAGGGTGATGAGCATGGCCTCCTAAGGTCTTTTGATGAAGTTACAATATTTGACCAGCCATTATGAAATATCGTACAAGATATCATTGTTATAACCATGCACGATGTTGAGAATTTTCTACAACAAGTGAATATCTCATGTCTCCACATCTGTGCTATTTTACTCTTTGGTCATCCTCGAATTACTATTGACGTTGCATTGTTGCTGTTATCCTCGGCAATCGTTCTTCTCACCTTCTGCTCAAGTTCGGGTATTGTCACACACAAAGATATCGAGAAGGCTAAAACTTGGATGGTTCAACCTTGAGGACAAGGTTGTTTCAAAAGGGGCGGCATTGTTACGACTTGTATTTGGAATAAAGGGGGGCAACATTAATTAGGGCCTATGATAAACTTGTTAGTTAGGTAGTTAGATGGTTTTTTGCTTTTGACAGATCAGATACTGTATATAAGGGAGTTGGCTCTCCTTTAGTGGGAGTTTTTAACAAATATTGAGTTAGGCTAAGAGCGCTCAGTTGAAGGGGAATGTGATAGGGACCAACTACGCAAGGTCCAAGATAGTAAGGTGTATGTGAGAGATAAAGGTAGGAAACACTGGTATGATTCCACCCAATCTGTTCCCACTCAATCTGTTATTGCTGAGTCAGACATTTTGTTAGAGGAAGAGGAGGCCATACGCATTGCAAGTTAGTTAGGATGGGATTATAATTAGGGGGGAGGCATGAGGAGAAAAGGCACCAAGGCGGTCAGAATTGTGGGGGGAAGTTCTTAGGAGATTTGCAGGGCGTCTAGAAGGTCCCTGAATTGTTGTTTTCTGTTTGTTATTTTTCTTTAAACACTCTGAGCCATAGCAGTACTATGGAGAACCATCTGTTTTTTGGTGCATAGTTATCAAATGCGGATTGCGGCATGTCGCGGCTAACCCCGAAAAACGCTATAGCGTTATAGCGGGTTGCGGTTGCGGAAATAGAGGAATAGATATATGACAGAAATAATGAAACATTTTTTAAAGGCAGAGATAACAGAAGTGAGAGAAAGAGACGCGGATAGACTAAAAAACCCTTAAATTTTTTCTGTTACACATTTAAATTTAGGACAAAATTGACATTTTGCCTTATGACAGCAATATGGCCGCAAATACAATCGCAATAGCCGCTATTGCGTTCTAGTGCGGCGCGACACGGTTTTTTGCGGCGAGGCACCACAACGCCCATATAGTGCGGCTCGCGGCGCAATTAACTACTATGTTCTGGTGTGATTGAAGAAATATTAATTAGAAGGGTTATTCAGTATATTTGTGTTGTTTTTTGCTTTGATTCGTATCAGAATGCCCCTTGGCAAGAGAAGTGTATCTTGTGTGTTCATTTCATTTTCTTGTTAATAAACAGATTTTCCCTTTCATTCCCATTCTTTTCTTTCCTTCTACCTTTTTGCAATATCAACTCCTATCACTAAATAACCAAAGCCATAACAGAGGAGGATATTCAAAAAAATTCCCACATTTTCTTTCTATTATTCCCTTATTTCCGGTCCAGTTCTATCAGAGTACTAGAACCTGTAGGAACACTAGATGGCATTCTCTCAACACTAAACAATCAGAAGTAACACCCGAAACTCGAAAATGAGAACAACACCACAGCCAGATTTCACAGAGCTCAAGAGGATCCCGCACATACTAGAAACTGTGAAGTTGTAAAGCCCACGGATAACAGTTTGAGCCCATACAAGGTTTCACAGCTGAGGTAATGTAGCCTAGCTGTTGCACAGATGAGGTTGCAGCAACAGAATATTAGGGTTTGACAGGACAAGGTTCAAATGGGTGGGTGAATGTAAAGTGCCGTCGTGTAATTGTGAGTGGGTGAATTTTTGGGCTGAACTGGGTTATTTAGGCATCTACCCACATTTCAGCAGAAGCTTGAAACTAGCTGGGAAACACATATTCATGATGATTTTACATGCTAACATGCAATTCATGAGCGATCCCACCAAAAAGTATTCATAGGTAGGAATGGGATCACAAGAGTCGGGAACAGATAGAATCATGCCATTCTATGATCTGAATCACTATTTTTACTACTGTGGTTCTATTCTAACATCTAATTTATGCACTAGATGATTATAGTCATTTCATCTAACTTTTCGTTTGTGCTGTAAAAAATTTGGTTTTTCAGTATCAGATAGAAAAATTACAATTTTTCATAAATAAATGAAGGCTATCATTATCAAAATCATCACAATGATTTATGAATTAATCAGTTTGCTATTGCTGATAAAAAATGTGTTTGGTGTTGTGACTGAAGCTCTTTATTGCCACCCATGTGTTAGGTTGATAAGGCGTTGCAAAGCATGGAGGGAGAAGCTGAACGTATTTACAAGGATGAGCGTGGAATACTTCTTGATGATGAAGCTGCATCAACAAGAGATGCAATGTAAGTTTTGAATCGTCAAATTCTTTTGATTGATTATTATCTGGATCCTCTGAAGGCTACCTGTTGTTAGTCCAAGTCTGTGTAATATGAATTGCTGTAATGCTATTGCTGATTATTTTATTTTCTTTTTTCCTTTAGGGGTGGTTGAATTTTCTATATTCTATATTTTAAGCCCTTAACCCAATCTTTGTGATATTGAGTCCAGTCTCCAAGTTCAATCTGGTTTCTCTGTGCAGCTGGAAGTGATTTTGATATATGCAGCTGTTGAATTATTTTATACTTTGTTCTCGTGTTAATCTTTTATATAATAACTTAAACAACTACGACAGTACAACTACAAAGTATATGGTCATGATTGAACATTTTATGCTACACCAACAAATTGTCTTAAGATTCATCTGTAAATAAAAATATCAATTGCTTGATCATGTGCTTTGTAGTTGTTTAAGTTTTATGGAATTTTACATGCAAGATCAATATGATGAATTAAGTCAAGTCAATGGTCAGATTTATCAAATCATTTTCTGTAAGAATTTATTGAGTGATGGAAGTGTACATCACTAACTCGGCAGATTTTGTGGTCTTACTGTCAATTGATTTAAGTTGCATTAGTTAATCTAATTTGCGTTAGTTAATCTAATTAGCGTTAAACTGTTTTTATCAATGTTGTTAAAATGTAGAGTCTACGTAGAAACGGTATGGGTGAGAAGAAACGTAAAATCGTGAAACGTAAGAGTTTACTACATACTAAAGAAAATTATAGTATACATATATATATGTGTTGTAAATATTGGAATTTTATCTATTTATTTGTATTAGCTAGAATACTCTATAAGTGTATTTTGGGCTTTAGCCCATTAGGTCTTTCAGTACTCTTTAAATAGAGAGCTCTTGTACAGATATTATATGATTCAATAGTATGCAAATCTTCTTTTGTAGTTGGTATCAGAGCTCTCGACTCTGAGGGTTCTGCTTCTGCAAATCTTCGCCTTTAAAAACCAAACCCTATTTGCCTTTCGCCGCCACAAAACCCACAGCTACTGGAAAATTTTTTCCGAGTACTTTTTGGACTGTGAGGACTAAGGTTGTCAAACTCGAGAGTTTACACAAACTCGGAAGGGTGAACCAAAATCGTAAATCGCAGAATCGTAACACGGATCGTAAAATCGTAACAAAGGATATAAATTATATTTATGTATATTTATATATGCATATAAAGTAATATAATAAGCAAGTTTAATTCAAACAACAAGCAAAATAATTGTTATTCGACTAATTTTATTTGTCCCAATAAATATAAAACAAAAGAGGCAAACATGAGGAAAAAAAAGGTAATTTGATTTATCAAAAAAATGTAATTTTGTTTATCCCACATTTGGTTTATCAAATATACATGTGGTGTGGCGTGGCGTGTGGCAGCAAATGTACGAAACAGAGGCAAAAAATTAAAAAGAATTTTGTTTTTAAAAAAGGTATTGAGGCAAAGAAATAGAGAAATAGAGGAAGCAAAAAAAAAAAAGAAACGAGAAAAAAATAGAGGCAAATAGGGATTGGTGAAAATTAAAAATAGAAAAAAAATTTATAAACAAATGAGAGACAGAGGCATAGAAAAATAAAAATAAACGAAACAGAGGCAAACAAAGAAGAAGAAAGAAACGAAACAGAGAAGAGACTGAGGCAGAGAACACCAATCGCGACGGCGACAGAGAGAGAAGATACTCGGAGAAGCTGCAAACGACGATGAAGCACGTCGGAGAAGCTGCAGACGATGAGGAAGCACGTCGGAGAAGACGATCCAGCATGACAAAGCACATCGGACGAAGCAGACAGAGTAGCGCGACCTCAATGAGCAGTACGTGGCGGCTGAAACCAGGTATTAGGGTTTTTTGTGTTTAAAAAACCCATTTATAAGATGGGTTTTGGGTCAAATTTTCGGGTTCATGGGTCACTCTCCATTTCCTTGAACTCGTACGAGCTTAAGAGTTTGCCAAAAAAAAAACAGCGTTTCTACCATTTGAGTGCCAAAAGCGAGTTCGCATGGAAACGGGAACGTTGATGGTGACCAGAAGCGTAAACTCGTCCGAGTTTGCGAGTTTACTCGCGAGTTTGACAACCATGGTGAGGACCCCTGTTTCACTCTGTTTTCTCAGATCTGTCATTTTACATAGGTTTCTTTTTCATTAGACGACCGGAACAACTCAAAAAAAAGATCGTACTGTTCATAAAAAAATAGAACATAAGAGAAATTTATTTTATTTACTGTTCATCGCCACCAGCCATCGGAAAATTTCTCCAGCCCTTATTATGTCGGACGTTGAAGATATTCCAACCTGTCAATCATCTGGTACACGCTCGATGGTTATTCTTTCTCCAAATGACGTCCCTCCTCTTCATCAGAATTCCCATCGTAATGGGAAGAATTATTTGCAATGGTCCTAGCTTGTTTGTACCATCCTTAAAGGGCGTCGTAAAATTACTCATCTTGAAGGACTTGTTCTTGCCAAAATATATGCAAAATTTGCTTACTGGGATGATGAAGACACTCTTATTATGACATGGCTATGGAACTCTATGACTTCTGAGGTTAGTCAACATTGCATGTTCTTACCTACCGCTCTTAAGACCTGGGATGTTCATAGACAGACTTACTCAATGAAGCAAGATGTTGCCACCTGCTATGATCTGAGGGTAGGATTTTTTATACCAAGCAAGGCTCTCTTTCTATAACAGAGTATTATGGTATAATGAATTGGGTTATGGATTGAGCTTGATTAGTACCAGAGTTTGAAGATGGAGTGTAGCAAGGATGTTGCCACTCTGACCACCTCCATTGAACGCAATAGGATTTTTGACTTTCTCTTTCTCAACTCAGAATATGACCCTATTCGAGTTCAAATTCTTGGTCAAAAAAAATTACCTTCTCTTTTTGAAGTTTTTCACACTGTCAGGGGGGGAATAAAGTCGCAGGCTTGTCATGATGAATACCAAAGTGTTCGAAGGACTATTATGCTCTCATCTGAAGTTACTGCTCCAACTCCTTCTGATTTTGTGCCCATTGATGTGTCTGCTATTGTCTCAGCTAAGCCACCTCCAAGGTCTTTTCCTCCTAAGCCTAGTAAAGAGAGGCACTGGTCTAACTATTGTAAAAGACCAAGTCACGCAAAAGATGTTTGTTACCGTCTTCATGGAAAGCAACAGGTTCATGAGAAGCTTGGTAAGTCAACCTCACGTGGTCAGTCCTTCTTTGCCCCCTCGGACATTTCTCTTGTGAATGAGACCTCACAGATGCCTGGTGAGTTTACTACTATTTGTCGTGAGGAAATGGAACGGCTTAGGTCCGTATTTGAATCTGTCAATAAGCCTTCTGGTACTGCTACTTGGTCTATGAGTGGTAAGAACACATGCACTCATTCTTTTGTTGCTTCTTGTACTGATTTCAAAATTTCATTGATTGTGGATTCTGGTGCTACTGATCATATGACTTGCTGCACTGACCTTTTTCTTTCTTATAATCCTACTGTTGGTATCCGTACTATAGTCGTAGCTGATCGATCACACACATCAGTTGCAGTTTCTGGTAACATTAAGATCCAACCCTCCTTGTGTCTCAAGAATGCTCTCCATGTTCCCCAACTTTCTACCAATCTTCTTTCTACTCATAAGCTTACTACAGATTTGAATTGCACTGTAGCCTTTTTCCCTACTCATTGTGTTTTTCAGGATCTCACCACTGGGAAGACGATTGGAGTTGCTAAGGAGCAGGGTGAGTTGTATTATCTGGTTCTAGACTTTGCAGCAGAAGGTACCAGGGATCATACTTTGATGACTCGTCAGTCTACTTCAGATTCTCTTATTTGGCTTTGTTAGATATGATTAGATATGATTAGATATGATTAGTCTATAATTATTCTGATTATATTCTGATTGTATTAGGTCTGGGCCTTTCCTATAAGCCCATTAGAGTCTCTATATATTGTAACTCTCTGAATTAGATCAATACACAACATCTTATTTTATATTCAAGTTGGTACCAGAGCTCTTTCGTTCTGGGGACCCTCGCTTCCGCTTAGAAACCTTGTTTTCGCCTTAAAACCTAAGCCCACTGCTTAGGAGTCATCCTTTCTTTGTCGTGCATCCTTCCGGCAAGACATCAAGGACCGTAAGTCCCTTCCGAGCAATTTCCAAACGCGTCAGCACCTCCGACGGTCACCTGAACCACCATCCGCCACCGTCAGCCACTGTTCAGGCCGCCGCAGCACTTTTTCGGCGAGTTTTCAGCTCGGTCAGCACGTGATCAGAACCCCCTTCCTCCGGCGACCTACTCTGCAGAAGGCCCATCACCGGTGGCCAAGTCACGCGCCCTCACGCGCGGCTGAGCTTCTCTCCGCGTGGTCCTCAAGCACCGCCTCTCACCAGCGCGTGAGCACTGTTCCGGTGGCTTTTTCCGGCCACTCCAAGACAGAACAACTCGGCTTCCTCCCCTCTTCTCCGATCTGGTCTTCATTCGTTGTGGGTCTCGTCCGTTCAGAAGATATCAGTGATTCTTTGCTTTCCGGTCATTGTTTCAAGTGCTGTGCATTCTTATTTTTTGATATCAGTGATAACCCACTGTTCATCGTCATTGTTCATAGTGCTGGAATTTTCTATTTGAGTCTGTTTTATTTTTTATTTGGTAATCTGTGTTTATTTGGTCCTTTTATTTGTTTCTGGTCATCTTTATTTAAGTTTTTGATGGGGGGCACATCCAAAAATAGTACTGGAGTCATCTCCAGTACTACCCCATCCATTACAACAATGAAAAAACTGACCGGATCTGCTACTTACAAGACCTGGTCTACCTCAGTTAAGATCTGGTTTACTGGTCAGGGGCACGGTCCATATGTCGCAACTAAGTCTGCCGATATTTCAAAAGACCAGACATCTGAATGGGACAAGATTGATGCTTAACTGCTAAGTATCCTTTGGCAGTCCATTGATCGGACGATTATAGACATTTTCATCTCC